GTAGTGTGCCTTGTGACCAGCACGTTACAAAGGGTAATGAACCAACATCTGAAAGCTCCATGTTTCACAGTGCAGGATGACGACGTTAAGGTGCTTTCCAACACTCCAGACTTTGCCATAGTGTCGTGTAGCCTTTGGCTGCATGCGTGCACTATGCATGGGCCCCTTACTCTTGCTGGCGTGACTCTATACCTGGGTTTCCTTTGCATTAAAGCTGCAGCACAAGTGGGAGGATGTCTGCATCTCCTCCTGAAGTGGCAACCAAATGTGGCTGGTGTCTTAGATGCTCTTCAGGAGTCCTACAGGGACCGGTGTCCTCACACAGTGCCTGGTCCGTAACACATTGAAGTCAGTGAGTGGCCTTTGAATAAACAGCTGGTGGTACAGCTGCTGTCCTGAAGCACTGCGTGCTGCTGAAACGCACGGCTTATCCTCTGCGCAGGAAATGGGGGGAAGGTGCCATCGGCCCCTGGAGAACTGGGGGAGTTCCTGGGAAGGGTCCCGTCTCCAGGAGGAGGTTGACAGCTGCAGGGTCACAAAGGGCTGGCAGCACAGGAGCACGGGAACCACAAAGCCGTGGGGTCTCCAAAGCCTCTCTGTTCTCTCTCCTGATCTGGGCATATTGTGGATTCTGTGGGTCCTTGGGCCAGCCATACAGGAGGACTCCGTTCTCAGTTCTGCTTTCCTCTGCACCTGAGGCAAAGTGGAAAGTGGAAACCAAAGTGGTGCCTGGGGGGAATTGAGGGATCCAGCTTTCCAGCAGTGAAAGGAAGTTAAGGAAAATGTTTCTGTTCCTCCAGCTTGCACTTTGAGCAAGTGTCGGAAAGAAAAGGGGCAAGTAAAGCATGCTGCATTGCACCAGGCCCATTTTCAGATGAACACTAGCCATGAAAATGATTGTTATTTAAAGAACTGTGCGAAGTTGAACTGGTTTAGCTGTAGACATGTTTTGTAAATTGATTCCACTAAGCTGGTTCAAAATCCACATCAAATCTTGCCCTGAGTTAATATGGAGCTGTCTTGGGAATATCAGATTATGCTCACTGAGAATAACTTTAAGCTAAAATCATGACCTGATCTAAATATGTCTATGCTAGGCTTTATGCCAATTGAATAGTTAGTTTTAGTTTAAGAATCAATGAGTGGTACAACTTATGGCCAAAGGCTATGATCTGTCTGTCTGTGGGCAGAGAGAGATATTATGTTTTGATCTAACGAAGTCTGATGATTTCCATCAATGAATCTGAGATACAAAAAAAAGCCACCAAAGAACTCTCCAGAACAGTGACCTCTCTCAAAAATGGCGTCCCAAAAAATCCTGTTGGGATTTCTATCCCAAAGGGTTCCAGCTCTTTCCAGCTATGTTGTTTTGTTTTTAATACTGTCCTGTGACATCCAAGTGTTTTAACAGTGAAAGTATCAGCTGGGTAAAACACCTGCTTTTATTTCTGAGCAAGAAATCAGTGGGCAAGAAGGCAGGACTGGATTTCAGAGGAATGAAAAGGCCCTCAGAGACTGACAGAGCTGTCTTGGAGGTAAAGAAGAAGTCGTGATATCTTGGAGATACCACAGAAGAAGCCAGAGGGTGCCCATAACTTTCCAAAACTCGGTGTGTTTGCATTTGTCCCACTGTCACAACTCAAGGCTATAAGGAGAGCTGAAGTGTGTTTGCAGGGGAGTCTTGGGAGAGAATGACTTATATCAGGTCTTCAGACTGCACAGTAATTAAACTGTAACAGTAAAGAAGTTTACTGTTTAGTAAACAAATAAAAAAAATCTGTAAAGAAATAGTAGCTATTTCTTTCCTTTTAGCAGACATGTATCTTTAGGTTAAGCCACTGCTTTGGCATCCAAAAAAAGCTTTCCAGCAATCTCACTTAGGTAGCATGGATAATCTTTCTGCGTCTGCTCCCTTATATAAAACAGAGACAAACTTTCCTTCTACTAAGCAGACTTGTTTGGGTCAAGGACCACCTCTGAGGGTACAAAAATCACACCCAGCACCATAAAGGCCTGATCTCAGTTCAGCTCTGTGAGTGCTGCTGCAGTACAAATAACACGAACATCCAACCATGCTGGCAGTGCAATACTCGCTGACACAGAGTGCAAAGGGAGGCCGTTTACCTGACTTCAGAGCCTGATTTTGAGTGTTTCTATGAAGGACATTCTCAGAAGCCAAGGAGAAACCTCATGCTCCAAAAGCACCTATTAATATGTAATAATAAAATTATTTCTTCTTTTTAAATTTTAATGCAAAAGAATACACATTTTATACATTAATGCAAATGTGTAAAAAGTGCTAGACTGTAAGTACCAATCCATGATTCTATTAGGCTTCAAAACAGAAATGCTCTGAGTTTTCCTTTAATTTCTATTCGAAGTCTTTTCTGAATTCTATAGAAGTTTCCCATAAAAGGGCTTTGTTTTCAGCTGTAGTGCCTGGTTTTCCCCGAGAGCGCAGCGAAGGGGATGGTTAGGTATGCCGTCATACTGAGTTGGTCATGTTAGCAAATTCTTTTCTAAAAAGAGGTGTCAGATTGTTCAGCCAGCTGAAGTAATCCAGTTGGCAGGAGAGTGACTTAATTCAATAAGCAGAATTTTTAAAACACTGTGGTTCTTTGTTTAACAGCCAGATTCTACAAAATTAGCTCCAGCTCTGAAATAATTTCTCTCCCCACCCTCCCCGTATTATCCCTCTTCCATCCTGCATGTCACTACCTCTCCTCACTGTCTTGTTTTTTCTGGTACCGATTCGCACTGGAGTCGTTCTGCACATCCCCTGTGGCGATCTGCTCAGCCCAGGGTCAAGCCAAGGCACCTACGCTCTCGATTTAAGCTCAGGGAGCGAGGCAGCTGAAAAGGACGCAAGCATCTCGGTGTCCGGTACTCCTATCCCACTGTGTGTGCCCCGTGCAGTAATTCGCTTCTCTCTGAAGGGAGTGCCAGGTGTCTAAAATAAATCCTTAGCGGGAATGCGTGACTCGTGCAGGCAGATGACAGGGGTCCATCTAAATCTATCTATAGACACAGTCGGGCCCATGTCCCTTCAGCGCTGGGAAGGAAGAGCTTACACCCACAGCGCCCTGATGGATTTTACACAGGGGAACTTTTGTAAAGGGTTGAGATCCATTACCACGAACAAGGAGCATGCTTCGACCTGCTGTTGCTGTCATGCTGTGAGCACCAGCAACCAGCAAACCCAGTGGAATTTAAAAACACTCAGGACCTCCAAATACCTTTGCAAGGGAAGTGCTGTAGTCCTAAGCCTGCTATACTGCTGTTCCTCACTCCCAGGAAAATGTCTTGTTCTCTTATTTTTTTCTGATCTCTTTTTTTCTTTTCTTGTCTATTGAGGTGGATGAGAACACGAGTTACCTACCTGCTGCTGCTGGCAGTTACTGGTAGGGTTAGGGTGGCTCCACCACTGCTCAGAGATGCTTCTTAACCTCTTCTCTCTCTTTTTTTTTTTTTTTTTGTCTTTCCAGAGTGCTGTTTGTTTGTGCACTGACCAGGTTCGAGGTTGTGCTTTTCATATTGCCAGCAGCCCTGGGGCTTTTTTCCAAAGACATTTCTTCCCTTCTCCTTGCCTATGCTCCTCTTCATACCTTTCCTGCTTTGAGAAAAGCATCAATGTTGGTTAGTGGTTTCCTCTTTAGTGGGGAATTCACTTTGATCTGTATTATTTGAAACCATGCAAAGTTTTCTCCAAAGCATGTCCTGCAGGGAAAGGGCTCTGAGACTACTAATCAGAGCTGGCAAGGCCTGAATCTCCTGGGCATTTTCCCTCCACAGTGCTCTGCTGGCTTTCCTTTCCTGCAGTGTGCGTCCAGCAGCAACATCTGGGAGGATAAGAGATGGTGAGGGAAGGTAGTATACAAAATCCCATTCCATACTGGCCGTCCCTGCATGGCAGGCAGCTCCCTGGGGGCCAGCAGCTGCCTGCTCCTGGTCTTCAGTGCAAACCTGCCCACAAGATGCTGTTGGAGGAGCATCCCAGGACAGCACTGGGGAAGGTGGGGGAACAACACAGACCTCTGCGCTGTCTGGGAGGGGAGATGGCTCCAGGACCGCTCTCACAGTTGTTCCTCCTCTGAATTCACCTCTTTTTCTTGCTCTCCCCACCCCAGTGGAAAGCAGAAAGGGATCAGGACAAACAGAAGGAAATCTTCCTGGCACTGCCTGCACTCTCAAGGATGGCAGAGGAGAGTGGCATGCACATTGCCACTGTGTCTGAGTTCACAAACCAGGAAAGCTGGAGGAAATGAAAAATGTTCTGCCCAGATCAGGTTCCATCTGAGGAGAACTGGAGGAAGCAGGGTGGATGGTCAGGCCCAGGGCAGGAGTGGTCCAGCAGCAACACACAGAGCCAGAGCGAAGCACCCTGTGTCCTGCGACAGCCTTGATCCCTTCTCCCGGTGCACCTGAGCTGCTCCGTTGTTTCAGGGAGGAGGCAGCCAGCCAGGCTCAGTCCCTTCAGAAGGAAAGCACCTCAAGGTGGTCCTGTGGACTTTTGTTCAGATTGATGAATAATGCAAGCTAAAGCTCCTGAAGGTCATATTAATGGAAAACACCAATTAATATCACTGGTTTAGCCCATGTTTCAAATCACGTAGAGATCAGATGTTCAGAAATAACACTGGCTTACAATGATAAGTATATGACTGTCTTACTTATGTGGTGCCAATTTTTACTACCCTTTTTACTGAGTGAGCTGTTTTCCTGGCTGAATATGGTACTGTTGGCTGTGAGTACAGCAGAGAGCCTGGCCGATGGAGGACAGAGGTGCGCAGCGAGTATTGCTCCTGTCTCAGTCTGGCAACGGTGCAGTTATGATTTGTCTGTCATTCACAAATCCTTTGCTTTCTTTTTCAAATGTACCTTCGTAATCTTAAATAAGCACAGCTGCGACTGAAATTCTAGGCAAAATTGCACTACAAATGTTACCCCTTTCCTTCTTTTCTACTACCACTGTTTGATTTATCATTTGCTTTCCGTTTCAGGTCTGCTGTTTTCTGGTTGGAGTATTTTTCATAGTCTGCATTATAAGAAAACCCACACATGAAGAAAGGGAGAAAGAAGTAAATGGAAAACAAACTACAGTCATGGCCATTAATTCTTCTGGGGAAAAGACGCCCCGACTTCTTCAAGCGTCCAGACCTGCTGCAGAATATGCGAGGTAAAAATAGAAAGCAGAGTACTAAAACAAAGAGGGAATAAAGATTAACACGGGGGACTTGGTGGCCTAAATATAGACAATTCTGCCCCTCTCCAGTGACTTAGAGTAACGGAGAATATTCTGCAGCCAGCGCAATTTGTCCAATACCCAAAATATAACACAGAGATCTGAGAGTAAGGATTGCAGCTAGAAAATGTGACATTCTCTTTGGCACAGCTGTCATACTATACTAAGCCAGTTACTTCCCTTTAATCCTAATTAATACTCTCTCTTTCCACTCTGAGCCAGGTTCTCTGGTCAGCAGTAATTCCAAGGGGTCTGCTGCTGCTCTCCCCGCAGGAGCCCTCTGCCTTCAGGCAGCCTGTTCCTTTGTGCTCCTTCCATGAAGGAGCAGCTGAAATCATGAATGAAACGTTACTGATACTAAAGAGAACTCCTGGCATCCGCCCCAGCAGAAGAAATCAATGTATCATTCATTAAATATATCCATACTTACACAGGGAACACATGCTTGCTAGATGGTGCCAGTTCAGGGTTGCCATCAGAGGGAGAGGTCCGCCCCTGCTAAATGCAGACTCCTGCCCTGCCTGCCAAAACCATCCCAGCCCCTGGGTTGCCCCGAGGGTTCGCGCTCGTCTCCCAGTGCAGCCTGGGAGAGACACCACCGGACCTCTTCCAGCTTGGGCTGCATTTCGACCCCAAACCGCTAAGTAATGTACAAAATAAATATATTTTGTGGGAGGGAGGGATACAGGCTGAGATCTAGTGTCTAGGTGCCATGCTCTTTTAGGTAGTGCCGATACTCACAGATATTATTTTATTCCCTGCATTTTTTAAATCATGGGATTTACTACAGTTTGCGAATACACACAGTAACCAAGTTATTAAAGGTAACTGATTTTAACTGTGAATGACAATGTGTCATTCACAAATGCTACATATATGTTATATAAGCATTGCAAATGTTATACCATATATTTAGAGTTCTAGACTGCTATTAATGCGGACAAGCAACATGTTTGTAGTCTGAGAATACTGTAATGGTTTGGTCTCTATTTTTTTCTAATTACAGAATTTCATATTTACTCAAAAGAGATCTCCATGTGCATGTTACGAAATATTTCATACCAAACACAAGCACAAGATAAATGTAGTTGGACTGGATCTTGACTTGCATCAAGAAATCAAAGCAGGCATGAAGGGAAGAGAGTACGGTACGTCAAACAACAATTTTTTAACCATGCAGAGAGTACTGATTAAAAGATGTTGTGTTTGCACTTCAGTAGAGAAAACTGTGGGTGTGTGCATGTGATGGACAGTTATAATATTAGAAATAATTAGGATTAACACGCTTCTTATTTCTTAAAGAACATGTATTTCTGTGGAATGGTACAAGTGCATGATAATTCTGTGAGTGACACTGAGCAGTATGCGGTGCACGGCTGGGTGATTTCTTCTGCCCACAGCTTGTAGCCATACCCAAGCAGGGCACTGTTCATGGCTGGCAAGCGTGCTGCATCGTGTGTTACTGTCACTTGGGGGACGCTCCGCCTCACACAAACCTAGCTCAGCCAGGGTTTTCCCATCCCACTCACTGCAGGAGAGGGCTGGTGATTCTTCCCGCAGCTGCGAAAAGGTGCTGTGCAGCCTGCAAACGTCCGTTCTGCCTGTACTCCCTGCCAGAGTCAGGCAGCAAAAGCAAGGGAAGAAGGGAAGCTGGCTGCAGCAGTGTGTGGCAAGCCGAATGTCAATGACAAATGAGGAGCGTCCGGTTTAGTGAGCGTTCCGCAAGCTGCCCCCCTACTACCAACAGCTGAATATCAACAGCAGAATACTCCCCCAGCCCAGGAGCACTCAGTCCCTTTCCCGTTGACAAAAATACCCTGAAAACATCTCATTCTGTCTCAGGCTCTCTCATCTGCAGCCCCTTCATGGAGCCCAGCAGTTATAGCTCATCCACCATCTCTTTTGGCACCCGAGGATCTTCCCAGCCCACGCAAGCTGCACAGCTTCGTGGCTGGTAGGTTTTGTGCAGCACCAACGTGTCTTACTGTGACTATTGCTGGGGTAAGATGGGTCAACCTTATGTTGGTATCTGTGGCATTATGCAAATTTTTGTGTCTATGAAAGTTACCTAATTAAGTCATGTTCCTTAAAAGTCTCAAATGGGATTTCTCACATTGTCTTTGAGCTGATGCTCACTGCTGTAACCAGCACATGTCCAGGGAGCAGCTTAGCTGCGTGCACTGCCAAGCAGCCCAGCTGATGGCTGCAGTGCAAAACGAGCACGGGGGAGGCACAGCTCCGAATGCCGCGAATCCCAGTGTCTGCGCCTGCTGTGGAGGCATTTGAGGAGGACCTTCTCTCAGGAGACCACGCTTTACTGGGTGAGCAGGAGGACCCGTCTCCACTTCAGCTGTCAGCCAAGGAGCAGCAAATCAGTAGGTTGAATAACAAACCCAAAACTAGGGTTTTTCTGCTCAAGAGTTCTAGAAGAACGTGAAACCGGCACTGCTCAGCTAACTGTGTGGATCTCACTGTGTGGATCTCACTGTGTAAGTCAGCACTGATGGCTGAGAAATGGAAGACAGCAGTAGCTAAGCCTTTTAAAAGGCTTCAGAGGTAATCCATTGATCTGCTAATTTATGTCAAGCTTTTTTAGCAAACAACCTCTTGGGAACTGCATTTGTATAATTATTGTTTCTGTTCCTTTATGGTCTGCAAAATGTTGGGAATAGCAAATACTTTCCAGAAGGCTGGAAACGTTTCTGAGGTCTGATGCCTCTACTGGAAATCTTTGAAATAGTCTGCAAGAATGTGGTTAAAGTGATACAGTCAGCCCCGAGTACTTCAGTTGCCTTCCCCTGAGGAGCTGATAATGACAGCTATTGGAGACACTGTTGGGCTGGATGAACCTCAGACAAATTTTATGTCCCTATGTCTTCTACAGCGTCTAAAGCCTGAGGCAGTCTGTGTTCTCCAGAAGAGCTCAATACAGAGGAGTCACTTTCATCATCTTGATTTGTGCAACATTTTCTTAGTAGAGGTGCAGATTCTTGCGCAATAACAACAGCTTGCAAAAGTTACTTTTTGTGGAAGCTCTAGAAATAATCAACAGATCTCAGTAGTCCAGGGCCATAGGCAGGAGGAGGAAGGAGCAGTGCACTGCTTCACTTTATCTTGATTTGCTCTTATTTAGTACATGCCCCCAAAGGACATCCTTGAGCTTTTCAAGTCATTTTGCCTCTGACAGCTGCTCCAAAAGCAACAAATATGTCTAGCAAGCATCCAAATGCCCTGCAAACCAATAAGTTTTATCTTCAACCCAGATCTGGAGCAACGGTAGTGAACAAATGCTGTTTTTCTAGATTTGATCAGGTGTGTGGCAGATGACTACTTTGCCCAGTGCGGCTGGTAAGATGCCTTAATAACTCTGCACCCAGGAAGAGCAGCAACAATAGATTTGGATGACAACAAGTAACTTTTGTCTAGCACTTAGCCACATAGATACGTAGCCAGCATTAGTAATCTGGAATACACAGAAAGCCTCGTGAAGCTTCACAGGAGAGCTGTTGATGTTGCTTGTTCTTCCGAGGTCCCTCAGCAGCATCCCCAAAGAAAACACAGTGAAACAAGTAGTTTAATTCTCAGGCAATAGCATGTTGCCACTGAAGAGCAGATTTCTTCCAGCCTTGAATCTGCTCTTTCATTTTCTCTCTCTAAGCCAACAGTATCTATCACCTTGCCGTGCGGGACTTTTTCCCAGCATGCAGTTAACTCCCATTGTTCCCTGGAAGCACATGCCTGCAGGGACTTCATCACTCCGATCTCTATCAGTCGTTGTTGGACACCGCATTCCTTTAGGATAAAGCTTTAGAGGTGCTTTTGTGGGATCCATCGATAAGGCAAACAGCTCTGACAGCCCCAAGAGCCCAGCAGCGCTCAGCCTAACCCAGACGCGCTGTGCTGAGGCAGTGACTGCTTTCCTTTTCTTTACTAGCTTGTGAGGGCAGTTTGCAGCTTCTTTTTTGTTAATTCTTGCAAAAGCTCTCCTTCCTCTCCCGAGCAGAATGGCACAGGAGTTTGAGCCAAATCTTTAAATTGGGTACGGAGTTTTTCTGGCATTTATGTATTTTAAACACAGTTTTAACTCTCTGGCTGGAGCGGACCACCACATTGGGGACAGCGAGTCCGAAGCAGTGACTGGGGCTGAGTGGGGCAAGGCTTTCCTCCCCAGGAGGACATGGACCCCCATGGCAGCAGACACGGCGGAGGTGGGAGGCTTGCCTGTCGCCTTTCTGGAGGAGCGGCAGGGAGGATGAGGTGGACAGTCCCACGTCCCCCACCCAGAGCCCACCGAGGGCGGAGCCCATGGGGAAGAAGGATTTGTGCCCAGTTATGGTCCAGTGCGCAATGGAAAGTGGAGCTCAGCTCTCAGCGAGTGCTGCCTGGTGCAGGGCACACAGCTCGGCTCTTCTGTTCTTGGGTGACCTGCAGCAGCCAAAGCGCTCCCCTATGCAGCTGTACTGGGGATTAGCAGTAAATGCACTTGCATTACATTTAAATTACTTTCTCAAATATATTTGTCAGTATTCATGTTTTCCTTAATTAAAATGAGCCCATTTCAGCATATGCCTGCCCATTCACGTGCATCTCTACACATATATCTGACCAGGACCGCCACCATATTTGGGTCTGTATAACGATTGTTGTCCTGAGTCTGGAAAGGCTTTGCACGTTCACAGTTATGTGCAAGAAAGGAATCCTGTGCAGTGCAAACTCTGCATAACCTTTGTAGCGTCTGGAGCAACAGTAAAGAATTTGGGATTGGGAACTCACCGCATTGTTACTTATTGGTATTGCATTCCGAAGAGGACAAATCAGGGCCTTGTTGTGCTAGATTCTGCAGTTTAAAAAAGCCTTTGCTTTGATGAATTTGCTGCCTAAGTGGCATTGTTCTGTTCTCGATTACAAATTGTTTTTCAGAAAACAAGTCCAGTTTATTAAATTAAAATCTCTCCTAAAATAGAAAATTTATTTAGCAAAGTTCCTCTGCTTCCATTCATGGTATAAAACCAATTTATTTACTCCTGTAGTTGAAATTTCACATATTAAAGAAGAACATAAAGTTTCTTTAATTTTGTTTGATGTTCTTTGTATAGTTTTGTATGAAAGTTGGGATTATGTGACCATCTTGCGGCTGTAACACTTGTCAGTTCATTTAAATCAATGTTTTAATTTGTTATTTATAATTATCACAAAGTTTATTGGGTTTAGTGGTAATACCCAAATTCATAATGCCTGGAAGGAAAAGCTGCAGTGTGAACTCACCTGTAACAGTCGACATTGGAGACAGCACACAGAAAGCAACCACAGATTGCCAGGTTCACGAGCACTCCTGTTTGTCTGTCTGTGTGTCTGTGTGTCTGTCTGTGTGTCTCAGAGATGATTTTTAGATTGTTTTTCATATCATGATGCAAACATAAAGTAAACCTTTTTTTGCAAAAGCTTGGAAGTGACTTAGAAGTGTAAGAATGTATTGGGAAGCGTATTTGAAAATCTCAGCCGTTCTCAGGGCAACAGTGAATAATACAAATTTTGCACAGGCAGGTGACTTGTGAAGGTGGGAGTCTTGGAAAGAAAATGTAGAAGGAAATCATGCAGGGATATGGGGCAGGCAGATTCACAGGGCCAGTGAGTTAGAGACTTTTACAAAGCCACCTTGTTCTTTTCCCGGTTTCAGTGGGCTTTCATTTAACAAAGAAAGTAGCTGGAAAAATTACCCAGAAACATTTGACCTTCAAAAAGGCCTCTAAGGCACAATTACCTGATGTTCACTCAACTGGTTCATGTGGTTCCCACTCTAAATTACTTTCTGGGTTCACCCATGTGTGAAAAGGGGTCTGATTATATGGAGGAGGGCAAATGAGAAAAGAAACTTCAGGAAGGAGAGAAATACACCAGGGAATTTTACTGGTTGTGTTTGCTTCAAGGGAAGGAAAGGGCAAACAAATGTAGCCAACTCAAAGTAGCTTTTTGGCTTTGAACTTCAAAATAAAGTAACGTAGGAGAGATGTGGGGTATCAGTAGCACTGGATATAAGCTGTTTCATAGAGTTAGGTAGGAATTGTAGAATACATTGTACTTAGCTTTCTTAGCCAGATGGCAAATTCTTTTTTTTCCTCGAGTATAACAAAAATCCTGTTTTCCCCCC